ATGCACCTGCCCGGGTATTTCAACTCGGCACCCAAGCAAACTCCGGCGCCAAAATTCCACGAGTGGATTCCCCGGCCAAGTGCCACCTCAGGCCCGCGGTACCAATTCTCAAGCACGTCTAGGCCCTGCGCACGACCGCATCAAACTTTTGACGGGAAAATCGCTAACTTGGGAACCAGAAAAACTAGAAAGCTGAAATTTTGGGATTATGTTCCTCGTTCATATAGAACTCAAAAATTTTAAATTCAGCCTCCAGGTGTAAGGGTTTCCCGTGTACTGCACCGTGAGGATTCCTGGCGCGAAAATCGCTAGCTCGGTAACCAAGAAAGCTGGGAAGCTGAAACTTTGAGGAAATGTTCCCAACTCATCTACAACTTGAATTTATCAAATTCAGCCTCCCGTTATGCGTGGTTGCCACGTACGGTCCCGTGAAATTTTCTGGCTGGAACTTGGCTAACTCAGAACTGAGAAAGCTGGGAATCTGGGATTTCAAGGGAATGTTCCCTGTCCAAGCATAGCGTGGATAACTAACTTCCCGAAACTCGAGGACCAGTACGTACAAGAGGTATCTAGCTAGAGGAATTTCGAGTAATCTTATTACAGCGCGAAACATTGCAAAAACGCATGATCGCACGGGCCCGCCCAGTGCGCGTTGTCAATGGTTTGCATTTGAGTATATGCAAAAACACATAATTGGCAAAAGCAACTGAAAATACAAGATAACGGGGAAAAAAAAGAACGAAATCTGCACAACTCGCATGCTTTTGATGGCTTATAGACGTTTCTAAAAAACTATAAATTTATGAAGGCGAACCTTAGCATTGGCTCTCGTAAATTTTCGGTGCTGGAAACAAATCGGACTGCAAGTAAACGCGCGCCGCCAGTATTCATTCTTTTTCCATAACTTTCCAAATTCCTTGGCAGAGCAGTTTCACAGTGCATGCGAGCTGAGGACGCACTGTAAGATCGCCTGCGCAAACGTTCCAGAATGCTTAGTGTATCGTCAAGCAGCATCATCGAAATGCCAATAAAATAATACGACTTCCAAACTGCTAGAAAGGCAAAACTGCTTCTCAGGCCCCGAAGTTCCTTTTCAAACGCGCACAGAACGGCAGCAAAAGACAAGGGCAAGCTGAACTGTAGTGAGAGCCGCCAAAAGATCAAACACAAAGAGGGATCAACACAAAATGACTTAATTGCGAAATAAAACCCGTTTTGTTTTAGAAGATAGAGCTATGAATTCGGTATTAAGGTGCTTTACGCTTATATGAACTTTCGTGATTTTTTGAGGTTTTACTGCAATCCTACTTTCCACTTTTCAAAAATGTAACCCGTCTCACACTGCCCACTTTTTGGTCAGCCTGAATAATCGCTGATATATACTCAACCGCGGAAACAGTGAAAGAGGAGCGAGAAAGCATGGCTAAGAATCTTCTCTTTTTACCCTGACCATAGGTACAAAACCATCCATGCTGGGGAAAAAGTAGGGAAAACTGGTCCTATAAAGTAAAACACTCAGGCATAAAGAGAGTTCAAAATTTCATTAAATCACAAAACTTGTTGACGATTCCTTCGGGCAAACACAGATAATTTCATAAACGCCTCAGTACAGTGTGCTGGACACAAACATACGTCCACCAGGAGAAATACACCTTATTTGCTTGCTTCAGCTCTACCATTCCTGCAAAGCGACTAATGGGTCGCACAAACCACTGCGATTATTCATCACTTGGAACGTTGGCACAGTGTTTTTTATGCGTTTTTTGGGTGACATATTAAAA